TGACAACATCCTCCTCTCAGCAGCAGGTATGTGGCACTTTCTCTGGAGTGTCACAGCTGTTCTGCATTCCCCAAGGGAACCTCAGGAGCTGAACATCAAAGGAGTAGCTTGGCCCTAGAGAGCCACTCACAGCCAAAAGGGCACTGCTATACTCCTATGAACTCTGGCTCTCAAGTCTGAGTGTCCCAATGCTTTAGACAGAGTTGGCAGCCAGCATCATCGGAGTTCGTTCCTAACCTTGCCTAGTTACAGAGCGCCAAGTTACCTTGCTCCAATTTGTTACCCTAGTTTTGCCTTAATGGAAAACAGGGGAGCCACAACAGCCCAATGCCAGTGAAGTGCTGATAATTAATCCCAGGAATGGAGTAGGTAAATACCCCCGTTGCCTTGTGGCAGATAAGGAAACAAAGCCTTATGAATTAAATTAACTGCTCAAAGACAGACTGGCATTAAACTGGATGTCCAGTGGTTTTCTCAATTATTCTGCTTCAGTGAAAGTTTTGTTAACAGAAGGAATCACTAATGCTTTTTAAATATTGTTATTTAAAAAAGTGGCCCACTAAGAGTGCAGTTTGAAAGAATATCTAGATATAGATTATAATTTGATCTATCATTTGATTTAAACAGGTCAATTAATAACAGAAGAAACAACCATGAGTGTAATCACACTGCTAAAATATGAAATTAAAGCAGCACTGTGCTATATGCTTGAAGCAACATAAAATCAAAAAAAATATGCTTTCTGACCATTTTCTAGCTGGGTGGCACCTAGTCAATCTCCAGTCATCTGGGACTCCCACAGTGAGCCAGGACTGATGATAAATGATGGAGAGTGGCCTGGCCAGCCCTTCCACCAGCTCCCTCAGTACCTTCATGTGGACCCCATCTGGCCCCAGAGATGTGTGAGTTTCCAAGTGGCACATCAGGACTAACTGCTTCCTCCTGGATTGCAGGGGATCTGTTCAGATCCCTATCCCTGTCTACCAGATCAGGGGGCTGGTTGCCCTTGGGACAACCAGTCTTTCTGTTGAAAACTGAGGCAAAGAAGGCTTTAATTACCTCAGCCTTTTCCTCATCCTTGATTACAAAGTTCCCCTCCACATCCAATAAGACATTCCACACTACCAGTTCTGTTTTCAAACATTCACCTCTGAAGACCTATTTCCATTATTAAGATACAGTCTGTACTTGGACAATATAGCCCTTGAAATTCTACCATCATTAAATTTTCAAAGGCTTTTCTTTAATTGGACTAGAGCTGAACAACTGGAGCTGAGCAGCCTGATATCACCATTTATACAGTCCACAGGCTAAATTCCATCATTTTTAATTTTCTCATGGCTCAGTACAGTAAAGCAAATCTCCACAGACATTTCATGAAGCCATGCCCTCTGCAAAAAGAAGAGCATCCAAAAGATACATTAACATGACCATTTATTACACTGGTATCAAGGACACCTAGTTCTGCATTTGACCTAAATGTTTAGTCAACCAGACCTTTAGAGTAATTAAGAGATTTGATATAAAAACATATAAAGAGATAAATAATAATTTTTACAAGTAATATCAGGACTCACCATCGCTACCTTATTGGTGGTCTCATGTGATTAAAAGCTGTATTAACTTGCTGCTCAAACTCACACTCAGGGTGAATTTCTGTATCACTCACACTACTAGAATGTGTTTTATGTCATATTTTCTACACAATATGGACATTGGTAGATCAAGCCACAGGGCATTATCAACTGAAGCCCTTATGCCATCTCTGCACAATGAAGTATCCAAAAATTATATCTGAATACTTAAGAAAACTCTTCAGATTCTTAAAAAAAAAAAAACAACAAGCCAACAACAAAAAACCCACAAACCCCCAGCCACATTATTCTAAAACTATATATACCTGGCCTCTGGCTGGTATTTGCACAGCTGAATTCTCAGTGTTATGACTTTATTCAAGGTATTTTCAAGAAAACCTGAACTTCAAATCAGTTCAGTATATACTCTACATGTCCAGTGACTGAACATTTTGAGATAACTGATGACTATTTTTATGTTTTAAAATTATTTCCGAAAGAATGAACCCTCAAAAATCTCAAGGTGAAAAAACCTTGTGCAGGACAGAAAACAATACCTTTGCCTCCTGCAAAATGTTTTCACAAATATCTTTCTATTTTCTTTTCAGCAGATTTTTGGAAATTTAAGATCTCATCTTAACTTGGACAGTCTTTACATTTTATTTTGATTTCTTTTACAAAAATGCCTGGAGGAAAGAAAGCATCTTTTCTAAAGAAAAAGGGCAATTTTGAAATTTCAGTTGTAGCTTGGAACGCTAACAGTTTTTGTGAAGTTAAACACTTGTTTCAAACCAGTATGTAAACATATAAACCCAAAGAAACTTCAGGTTCCTTACCTGTAAAAGATGAATTAGCAGTAAAACATTCACTGCTCTTAGATACTATATCCAACCTGTCTGCAAACTTGTCAAATCCAAGTGTCAATGTCATGCCCCAGTTACTTTCAGGTACAATATTTATTGAAAGTAATATTGTATGCCATTACCTCCAAACCCATTTATTTTACACACACAGTGATGGAATACTATGTGCAAAGGTAACCAACCAGGACTAAATGGGTTTAGTTTCATTTGGTGCATGAGTGGCTTACACATAAAAATTCTATTAATTATATTGTAAATCCCCTGGCACAGCAGGTTGAGCAGACTCACCCTGAAGACAGTTATCAGAAGAGATAACTGCTGTACCAAGAAATAGAAAATGGTCAGAGGCTTCATGGTACTTATTACTTGTGAAATATGAAGGGGAAAAAAGGAGAAGAGGCTGTAGAACACATTCAAAATAGATTAAGGGAAAACCAACAACACTGGGCAAATTTCCCAAGTTTGGCCCATATACTTAAACAGGAAGTAGGTTACTAAAACCTGCATTGGCTAAAGAGTTGGTAAAGTTTCAGCTTGTCCACAAGATGCTAGTCACCACCTATTCCTCTCTACTGCTGACCTTATTGAATTCCTTTTCTGTAATCAGATACAGAATTCAGTCTTGAGTGCCAGCTGCTGCTTCAGATAAAACATTGTGATGTCCTTATATATGAATTCCTCAGTTGGATATTTTTCGCTTTTTATCTGCACTTGATTTACCAAACCCACAAACAGTCATAGCCATGATTTGTATGGCTCACTAAGGACTCTTCTGCCTTCCTGTATAAGGAGTATGTCTTGGCAAAGTAGGACTCGACAATCTCTGCTCAGCAGAGGTCCCACTGCAGTAACACTGACCAAACCTGCATCTTCTTATTGGGCCTTGCCAACGCTTCCAGACCAGTGACTGAAAGCCACATATGCTTAACCACTTAATAGTTTGCATCTACATCTCTTCAACATTTTGGCAAAATTTCTGCATCATCATTCCCTTGTGTTGATACCACTTCATTTGTTCTCCAGTGTTCAGACCTCTGTGGCTTTCCCTGGAAACTTCTCTGACAGTCATAATTCCAGATTCTTATCCTCAGCTATGTAATGCTCTTCACAACACTGCTCTTCCGTATTTGTTACTGCATCCTTTCTCTGATACTGGCATCAAATTTGTTCTCCTGTTCTTTTGGATCACACACTGTAAATGTAAGAACATGCATTCTTCTGCATGTAAGGCCACTTAGTGCAAGCACTTGTGCTCGAGCCTGTCTTATGCCACCTGAATGGAGCATCCTCTCCTAAGCCAGAGGCGCTGCACTGCTCTCCTCCCCTGCACCTCTCTCTCCTCACTTTCCCTGCAAAGCTCTATAGCACGGAACTAGACAAAATACACAGCCCAGTATGGCCTCTGAGAGACACTAAATTCACTTAGAAGTTAAAAGGAAATCTTTACATTATTTAGAACCTTTAGTTTGTTTATTAGTTACCTAGAAAAAAAGCACATTGCTCTTGTTTTTACTCTCTACTTCCTTTTTATTTATTTAAGTAGTTTTCCAACACCTAATGAGTTTCAACTGAAATAATATTTAAAGCTGTTCACTCTCAGGCCACTGTCTTTGTGATGTGCAGCCCTAGCACCAAGCACAACAGGACACCCTGGCAGTTAACAGAACATCAAAATCAGCTTAAAAGCATGTTGCAACTTCAGATACTCTTACTGGCTGAAAAAAATGTAAAATCCAATTAAATCAAATGGTATGAAACAAAACAGTAGAATGAAATAAAGCTGCAAATTCAAAATATTTAACATAGTTAACAGAAGAAAATAATCAATGGAACATACTGTTATGGGAAAAATTATAAACATGTAACCAAAGAGAGTTACTGTATCATCCGAACAATGTAACCAAGCGTTTTCTAATGAAGCACAGATGTAAAGAAGAGTGAACTAGCACAGCCAATCTATTCAAACTTACACTCCTGTATTCCTCTATTTCTCTGTTAAAATAAACATGACATTTAGAAATTAAAAGAACCCTCTCATTTCCTAAGTTAAATCATGTTCTGTCTGGATTGTAACTACAAGGTGATAATATTGTTATTATTAAAAATATTAAATACATATATGTCAGGAAAAAGCTAATACATGCATACATTATATTTGTTTACAATTCACTAAGTATTAGCTACATTTTACATGAAATCCAGAAGTATATTTATTAGAAACTCACTGGCCCTCTGCGTTGTGGAAGCCCATGCATGGCATGAACACATTGCTGGGGAAACTGAATGGTTTGGTTAGGAAAGCCAGCTTTATACAGCAGAGCAAAATCACTGTGGAACCTGCTTCCACCCATAATGGAAACTGTACACTATGGGATCACTCAAATCTTCCCAGACACTTCCTGCTCACGTTCAGCATTACTGTCCTGCAGACACTTCAACATGCAGGGTAAATGCAGCTAATAAGCATAATTAGCTCAGACAGTGTATTTTAATTTAGTTTTGCACTAAAGAGTAATTGCCTACTCAGCGAAGGGGAAGTGTAACATTTTTTTAAGATGCTTACCCGAGGGCCCTGATCACCTTGATCTCCCTGCAAAGTGGAAAGATGAGATGATAGGTTTAACACAGCATCTGTGTGCTACCCAGCTCTCTTACATAATCTAACATTTCACTGCATCAATACAAACAGTCTCTTGAGTTCATGCTGGGAGGGCTTTCCAGTCTCTTGTAAGAATCACCCGAACATCAACTCACCTTCTCGCCTTTTGGACCAGGAGGGCCCTGAAAGAAACAAAGGCAAAGATTAATTACTGATGCTGATGAAGTCCTAGGATACAGCAAGAAACAGGTCTGTGTCAATCTGCAATTTCTTCTCAACAATATATTTCCTTATAAATTCTAACTCCGAATGCCAGTGCTACTCCAGAGATGGTTTCTTCACTGTACTAATAATAGGAACTGCACACTATTTCTTGAATAGTTTGCTAATGTGTGTTGAATCAGTATACTTAGACAAGCAAAACTATGCCTGAAATGGCAAAATATCTATCTACAGATTTCACTTAGGGACAATAGATTATCTCCTATCAGATAAAAAAAAGTTTTCTTAGACTGTAAAACTTCTTTGCAAGTGCACTTAATAAATTCAAATACATATAAATCTGTCATGTATTTTGGCACCCTCCTTGTATTAGACTGCCAAAGAAAAATGGATTTGAAATTCTAAAAGTAGGGGTTTTATTCCTTTTTTTGGCAATACTGATGTTTAGTCTCAAGCAGACTGTTTAGGCAAAATGAGCACTTTGTGTAACACGATTTTGCAGGAGTATTACTTTTTGTTACTCACCACCCAACAAACAGTAAGGTGACAGAACCACAAATAGGAAGTCCTTTCCTATTCCATTTTTATTGAGCGCTTTCCAGAAAGCTAGCAGCAGGTTTCTAAACCACTAGTTTTTCAGGTTAGTACCTTGTGAATAAAAATGCTATCAGTCTGAAAAAAACTGTCTGCTTACACAGTGCAGACTCTACCTTCAGCTTTCTGAAAGATATGCAGGTGTTTCATTACAAAGAAGGACCTGAGATACATATGAAAGCAGCTGTAAACAGAGAAGGAGCCATTCAAGCCAGCATGGTTCACTGTGATAACACAAAGAGAGTGTGTGGCAGTGTGTGTGTGTTTGTGAGGGTTTATACAGAACAAGAAAAGATTGTCACTAACAACACTGACAAAATTTCATGTGGTTCACATAAAATGCAGTGGAATGGAGGTCAGTCTGCTGTACATTAAAGACGTGATCAACCACAGGCAAGTCTTTGAAAACCACTGTTGTAGCCAATATTCTGCTTAGTTTTAAGGGCTTCTGATGCATGTCAGAGAAGAGCATCTGCTGCTGAATCAAAGGAATTAAAGCATATGCTTCTCCTTCCATGGCCATCTCTTCTGTCTGCTGCAGAGGACACAGGAACAACTCTGCCTCCTGATGTCCCCAGGTCTCCTTCAGGAAGGACAGTGGGAACTGCCAGCTGAGTGGAAACTCTCTGATCAATTAACTATGACCCCTGCCCACTTTGATTGCCTTGCAAGCACTTGGCCTCTTTAAAAACAAATTAAACAAAATAATTTAATTAATAGATACAATCTGTCTGCACCTTTAAGGTCTCTCCATATATATATATATATTTTTTTTTTTTTTAATGCTTTAAATCCCACTATCCTTTCCCAGTTCAGAAGTTCACATAAATACATACCGAAAATTAAGTGCAGCACCGTCTACCTTTAGCTACAGTCTCCACATACACGTACTGTGACGTGACATTACAGTAGAGCAGGTCTGCTTTAAAGCTTACACATACATGCCACTGAGCTTGTGAATTTGTGAACTCATACCATCAGTAAGACAGAAATTGCAAGATGGGAAGAACTAAAATCAGTCAGTGCAGGCTGCGGCTGCCTTCTCCACAGTGAACGCAAAGCACAAGCAAAGGGTTGTGCTCACGTGTTCTCCCTCCTTGAATTATCAAGCCATTACTGGCTCTGGATATCTCACTGCCTGCAAAGTGCAAATAGCATGACCCCTATCTGCTACAGTCAGAATCCTATTTCTTGGGCCTTAGGCATGAAATTATAGGTAACGTGACACGACTGAGACTGTAAACAGATGTTGTCTTGTGGGAGCTGTTGCTGCCTTCATTTAGATGCTCAGTGCTGCTCTTACACCCAAGAGTGGCCCTACTTCTAATGGGTTTTGGCTCATAACTTTTCTGAAGCGGGTTTGCCACAGCTCTGCCTGTTGGTAGAAACTACAACAGGAGAGATCACAGCAGCTGCCCGAACTAAGCTGGCTCACTGGAACAGAAACAAGTTAGAGCTCACATGAGGGGCTCAGCCACCAGATCTGCAGGACTACTGCACTGTCTCCCTGGTATGATTGCTGGCAATTATGTTCAGCCATCTCCAGTGCACAAGTGGCCCCTTCCTCTACCCTGCATACTTTCCTCTGCTAATAGTTCTCTGAAAGTACAACCTATACCCAAACATGCCTTTTTAATAAGACTGAATTATATCTCTCTTTTTTTGTCTCCCTTTTCTATGCAGGATTTTCTGAATATGATCTGTACACATCATAACCAGAATTTGTTTTGGCTTTTTTTGCTTTGTGTTTTCTCTCCCTGAGTGGCAAGCACCATCACCTCCAACAAGTCACCCTTCCAGCACATAATTTTTCATAAAAGTCTTCATATTGTACCAGGGATGAAAAACAGCTTTTCAAAAGCCCACAAAAACACTTCTGGTGTGAACATTCTCACAAGTCTCTTCACTTGTATTCACAATGTTCTTGCTTTCCACAAGAGGCCTCAAAAACAAACAAACAAATGCAAATGAAAGTGGTTCTTTTGGATGCAAGTGAAGAGAACCAGTGGGTTTCATCAAAATAAAAATTAATGGAATTCTTTCATGGCTTGTTCACCCATCTCTGGCTTTTCCCCCACTGTTTCAATTGTCCTCTATTGTTTTTGCAACTTTAAACAGAAAATTCCTATCCTCAGCCTTTGACATCTTCTTTCCATTTCTGCTGAGAAATTCTCCCAAGGTTTTTTTACTGCAGTGTGTGTACACTGAGTGGAAGCAAGGAGGAAGAAAAATCAGAGCGAAAGTTGGGTTTGTGGGGGTGGGGCGCGATTAGGAGACAGATTTGTTTAAAGGAGGGCAAGGTTTCTTCTGTTTAAGGGTACAGACACAAAGCACAGAGTGAGTAAAATAACACTAGTTGTGTAGGCCACAGCATGGACTTGCTGCTTTTTTTCCCAGGGAGACTTCTGTGCTTTCGTTTATGAGATGGCAGAGATCAAGCGGCGAGCTGCCGAACAAATGTGAAAGCATTTTGTGTAAGTTATATGAAACGTCTGAGGTCAGAGCATTTCTGAAATAACTTCACAGTGTTTTCACTAGAAACAGAGGCTCCTTTCTCAAAGTGTAATTATCTACTCCAGACTACTATACATTTCCAAGGAGAGTTTATAGCCTGTTTCACATAAGCAAGGCCTTGTAAATCTCAAACACATGCAAAATCTGCATTCATAATTAGGCAAAAAATACTACTGTTTTTAAAACAAAGTCTCCTAAAGCAGACTGAAAGAACTCCAGGCACCTGCCAGCTAAGAACAGAACCAAAATCAGGGTCAAATCCAAAAACCAGCCCTATTCAGGATTACTGATAGGTGACCTTCCCCCACTTTTTTTTGCTATCAAAATCCCACTTCCATACTCTGATGAAATTTTACATTATTATAAATATGTGTACAGGAACAGAAAGGCAAGAGATGCAATACTAGAAAACAGGAGGCTGATCCTTGCAGTCTTCATCAGGCAGTTTACCCTTAAAATTAACTGAGTGTGATCAGCATGATTTTTTTTCACACAGCTAAAATTTTGTAATTCATTCCCTGAAGGATGCTAATTTTGTCTTCCACCCTTGAGGTCATTGCCACCTATATAGTTTTGCAAATGTTACATCCACAGACCTCTTAAAAAGCCAGTAGTTGACTTATATTGGTTTTACAAACATTCATAATTATCAAAATTCTCTTACAGCTATCGTCCCTGCACATACCTATTGCTACAGATCTGCCTTCAGCCATAATACAGGAAGTTCTGCTGCAAACTCACCCAAAAGGCTCCAAGCATTGATGGGATAGCAGAACTGAAAATAGTAAGGGATTCTTAGTACTGAGTACAAAGCAATGTTGAAGGTTCTGTAAAAAGTTCCACAGTCAGTACAAAGGAGTGCAGATTTTTCCTGATTGTTAGACAGCCAATATGATGCCTCCGTAAAAAGGACCAGCCAGTCCCCAGCATAAGCTGGTGACAACAAACCAACAAAATAACCAACAGAATCAGTTGGGCTTTGACAGTCCCAGGTCCCATTGGCATCATCCATCCTCACAGCTCCTAATGAATGTGACACGTCAAACTTGACAGCTCCCATCAGACAGAGCTACCACAGCAGACACAGGTGATAAAACCTTTCAGACACAGTCACTGCTTTCTAACATCCCCACCACAACATCCACAGGCTAAGCAAGCTGGCAGCTGGAGGACTGAATGCAGTTTGCAAGGTTCAGCCTTCATTTTCATTTGGGATTGAGGGGCACAGTGCAGCCATCCTTACCAGCACCCACAATGTGACTGGCAGCCAAAGGCAACAGCAGCCTTGCAGAAATGAACACAAACGTGAACCAGCTATTCCAATATCACCCAGACAAATCCAAAAGGGGAATCAATTTCCCAGCTTAGTTTAACCATGTTTTCACAGCTAAACAGCATGCCATACATTGCCTGAGTCAACTCAGTATTGCAGATTACTTCAAGAGTAAAAGGTAGCTTTAGCATGTAACAACAAAATAATCAGATATAAAAGCTGAATTTTATTTCTTTGAAACTTGACTCATGACTTCGATAAGTTACAAGAATCTGACTGGAACAACAGTCCCCAGCCTATCCTGTAATTGCTGCAAAATATTAGGATGATTTGCTGAATCACAGGAGGTTACATTATACAAACACCACTGTGTTTCATAACTATTTCAAAGTTCCTACACTCATTTCAGTCTTGTGTCCACTATGCAAACCCTGAACTACTGAGGCAATGCGGTTTTGGCATCTGCTGAGCTTGGCCATGTTCAGCCAGTGTTTACATATGCTAGTTTACAATGCCAACATTTCACCTTGCAACAGTTTTACAAGTACTCAGAAGAATTTTCTATGAATCTGAACAGTT